CCGCACCGCCTCACCCATCCGGGACGGCACGCCGCGACGCTGGCGCCATCTTCCCCTGTTTTTTAGCTGGATGACGGACGGACCGGTGTCCAGCGCTAGCGCGACCGCATGGTAACCGCAGCGCGGTCCGTCGGTCCGGCCGCGGCGCCGGATACAGCCGGCCAGGCCCAGTTAGCGCTGCTCCCCAGCCGGCGGTCGCAGGCCGGCCCGTGCTCTGGCTTCCGTCGTCGGCCCCAGCTGCCATTATTATTCCGAACACCGCACAATGGCGCGAGGGATCGCGACACGCGTCGCCAGAATGTCTGCGGGGCTCGCGCGCGGCGCCACCGGAATGCCACCAGAGGCCGCCGATAAATAATTAGAACGGCATGTCTGGCGATGCAGAGCGCGCGCGCGCTATACGCGCTGCAAGCTGTTCCGGTCCGCCATATGGCGGATTTTACGAGTCTGGTATAGCGACGGTGCATGGCCCCTGCGATGCTTTGTTCAAATGAGGTTTTGGTGCAGGCACCGTTGATATCGATGCTATGTTAACCCCGAGATAACCACTCGCTCTTGCAACAGCCACGGACAGCGGGAGCAGGGGGGGGGGGGGGGGGGGGGGGGGGGGGGGGCAGGGCGGCATAGGGGACGGCTGCCTCCAGATCTAGGGAAGTTTAACATCAACCCTGTGGCAGTTTCTGGGAAGTAACGCGAAAAATTGCGCTTGCTTTTCTTCCAGGAATATTTGTTATGTATTTTGAGGCGACACAGTCTCATCCCATTAACTTCATATTTGTAACATGATTATTTCGTCCATGCATGGAACGAATGGTCTCATAAATACTAAAATTACTCTTGAAACTTTAGCCATTGTTAGGAAGTGTCGCATCCGAGTGTCACATCCCCTCCCCCAGCCCCAACCCGCCTGGACGAACTGCCGCTACCGCCCCAAGCTGGACGAGAACATGAGAAGCCAAGCTGAGGGACAGGGGTAGCTAGGTCGAAAGAGGCACGGCCTATTTATCAACACGATTTGCGGAAAGGGCTTGTCAAACTGCACGGCAGGGGCAGTGATCACCGCTTCCATCGCTTTGTGTGGTCTGTTTCACGTAAAGCGTGTATCCCCGCTTTCGAAGTCAGCCGGGGCTCGAGACATTCCATGTCATGTATCCACCTCTGCGTCGATGCGCGGCCGCGGACGAGCCATGCCTGTGACCTTGCCTGACCTCGCGGGTGGCTCGGTACCGGTCGTGAGAGTCCGTCAGCCGCAGAGGAGCCACGCCCTCCCACGAGCTGGGTCAACAGCGGCCGCCGACGCCGCCAGCCATGTCCCGGACGACGCCCTCCCAGCCCTCTGTCTCTACCCTCCCCCCTTCCGTCGGCCGCCCCGGCTCAGGCGGTGCCATCAGCGCTTTACGGCATATTGAATCTCGGCCATGTGGCCGTGTCGTAAAGGGTCATGGCGGTGCCGAGGGCCGCGGGCGACGAGGCTACGTCGCGCTATCGGTCGGCGTCGCCGGCTGGGGACGCCAGCTGGGGACACCGCTGGGGCCGCCGGCTGGGGACACCGCTGGGGCCGCCGGCTGGGGACACCGCTGGGGCCGCCGGCTGGGGACACCGCTGGGGCCGCCGGCTGGGGACACCACGGCGACGACCGGCTGCTAAAAGTGGCCCGGGTTAGGTGCATACATACATGCATGACATCAGGATGGCCGCCTTTGCTCTCTGATTTGACCTGACCTGACGTGACCTGTCCTGATATGGCTACTAGCGACCTGACTGCTAGCTAAGTTTTGGGACCCGTGTGTGGAGCTCACCAAGCTCCAGATCCACCTGTCCCCGTGTCTGTGCCCGGTTTCATCCGCGGCCTAACCCATAGGCCCGCGTTTATGTGTGGCATGAAACTACGCGATGTAACTGTTCATTCTGTGTTGGACCAATAAATATCCGCACTGGGCCAGTGTGCTTTGAAGCAGGGCGCACATAGGATTTGCGACAGGGGCCCAATTTCTTTTTTTTTTGGGGGGGGGGCTATTTCCAGCATCATTCATCGTATCTAGGGCGCTGCGGTCTGATTACACACGGCACAAACACTACTAGGTACGGATGCGGTACCTAACGCGCCAATGGGCTAGCACTTCTGGAATGGCTCCGAAAAAATATGTCTCAGCTGCGTACCATACATGTATGCTCGGTTTTTCACTGACATTGTTACTAAATTCCTGTTGCTGGTTGTGACACGCCACTGCCCACGGCAGTTAATAAAGATGTAAGCCAGAAATAATTGTTCTGATCACCAGATCGTGGAATCGGGTTCCATTAGCGTCGTGATAAAAATCTGCGCTCGATTCTGGCAGCGGGACGGGGTTAAAATTTCTCCCCCCCCCCCCTCCGCTTCTCCCTCTGCGTGGCTGCGCCCTTGGTCTAGAGCGACGGCGGTTTTGACAAGCCCCTTGTCGGCCTTTAATCAGACGATTGAAAGCGATAATGCTTCAGGTGAAGCTGGCGGGGGCTTTCGTCATTCGAGACCAGAAACTCTCTTTAAAAAATCCCCTGCAGTGGAGAAACTCATCCGAGAATAGGTGACCAGAGCCAAAACAGGCATATCCTGTCCCAGACGCTGATGATCGTTGATAGATCCAGCCTTCAGAACCAATCAGCGTGCGGCTCCAGTTTCGCCGAGCGATCGCAGCGCCATCTTGCCGGGCCGTGGCCAAACAGACAGCTTGCCGCCGCTGCCGCTCGCGGGCTCCGGACGGCGCGTGGCCACTGACCGATCGGGGAATGCGGCTGCAAAGCCAACTCACGGAGCGGAGAGGCGCCCACTGGTCAGGTGGGACATGAACGTCACGGGAAAAGACGTGGAAAGGCGGGACAGAGACTGTGTCAGTGTCAGCATGTTGGAAACAATCCACAAAGTGGCTATTACGATCCCAGGTCATGGGTACGTTTCAAATTACATACTAAAAGGTGCAGCATAGAATGCACATACTAAAATTACGCAATAAAATGTTACGAGCACTGGTCGCAAACATCCCTATGCATGCACTGTGGGCCTGATCAGATCAGTGGTCAGTGGTCAAAATTAATTCACGTATGGAGGTCTTAAAAGCACTCAGTGTTGTGACATCACAGGTGTACGATGACAGGCGGTTCTAGGCAGCTGTGGTCCGATGCAAAAGCGTCCTCTGTATGACGGTTAATCGGTGTCTGCGCTGGTGCAGACTACCTGTCTGTCCGAGGTGCGCGTTTCGCAGCCGGTACAGCCGGCACGCCTTGGCGCTCCATAGATTACAGCCGCTTCGAACATCGCAAACCACCATCGCTCAGGCCGGACAATCTCTGGAAGCCCTGCAAACGCCTCCGAGAGCAGAGCCAGACGGCCACCGCCCATCCCAGAACCGGCCGGCCCATCGACCCGCCGAGGGGCGGGGAGCCTGGGCCACGATCGACGGAAGGCCACCGCCGAGGGGCGGGGAGCCTGGGTCACGAGCGACGGAAGGCCACCGCCGGGGGGCGGGGAGACCGGGCCACGAGCGGCGGAAGGCCTCCGCCGGGGGGCGGGGAGACCGGGCCACGAGCGGCGGAAGGCCTCCGCCGAGGGGCGGGGAGCCTGGGCCACGAGCGACGGAAGGCCACCGCCGAGGGGCGGGGAGACTAGGCCACGAGCGGCGGGAGGCCACCGCCGAGGGGCGGGGAGCCCGGGCCAGGAGCGGTGGGAGGCCACCGCCAAGGGGCGGGGAGACCGGGCCACGAGCGGCGGTAGGCCACCGCCGAGGGGCGGGGAGCCCGGGCCACGAGCGGTGGGAGGTCACCGCCGAGGGGCGGGGAGACTAGGCCACGAGCGGTGGGAGGCCACCGCCGAGGGGCGGGGAGCCCGGGCCAGGAGCGGCGGGAGGCCACCGCCGAGGGGCGGGGAGCCCGGGCCAGGAGCGGTAGGAGGCCACCGCCGAGGGGCGGGGAGCCCGGGCCAGGAGCGGCGGTAGGCCACCGCCGAGGGGCGGGGAACCCGGGCCACGGGTGGCGGGAGGCTACCCAGTGACCGACGGAGTGCCTCAGCCGACGGGCTGCCGGCTGCACGGGAGCAGAACGAGCCCCCGAAGGGGGCTGTCGGCCGACTGGCGACGTCACAGGCGCGGGAGGTATCGATGGGCTCGGTGCAGCGGCGGCGGCGGCGACGGCGCCTGCGGATGGCGCTGGTGCGGGCGGCGGTCTGCGGTCCGCGCGCACGCACGCCGTCATGTTGGGATCAGTAACGGAAGTGTGGTTTGATGACGAACTACATGGAGCGCGTTTCCGGTGAAGGACACCAGCAAAGACGTTTCCTTGTCGTTTTTGTTACCTTCTTAGGAGGCTCCGATGACTGTTACGTCCGGTGATCTTCATCACAGAATCGAGGTTATCGCTGCCACTAGTTGTGAGTGTGCCCGCTCTGCTCAAAACTATGCAATCACAACGCCAGCACCACCGTCCTGACCGCCGGCGCGCACAATACGTCCATCCTTAGTGTCTCGCTCTTTTTTCAATTAAAGAAACACATTGTTTGTTTTTTGTCGATATTGCGCACAGCCACATCACAAGCCCTATCAGATTTGGGTTGCATTGTTGCAGCCAGCCCTTCGCGCACATTCCTGGATGGCCCGCCCTGCCGGACGGCTGGCGCTGTTTCGGGTCCGCACACGAGCATCCTTCCAGCCTGCCCACTGGCGTCACAGCCCGCCGTCCCCCTGTCTTTTCGGGGCGGTGAGCGGTCACGCCTAGTGGCCACCCTCCCTCACCTTTTGTGCGGCGAGCGCCGCTCGGCCGCCCGCCGCACACACCATCCGACACTTCCTTCGGCGGTGGCGCAAGACGACCATCGTCGCAGAACAAGTTGCGCGGCACAGCATACCACGCGCCGCAGTCGCAGTCGCCATGGCAACGTGCCACGGCGGCCACCTGCCGGCCAGGTCGCGGAGTCTGGCGGAGCGACGCGGAATATAGCTGGCGATCGGCGCCGCGCCGCAGACGGGCGGTGAGCGCCCCGGAGGAGTGTGCGGTGTGAGTGTTGGGCGCGCGTGCCCTGGCGTAGTGTGCGGTGTGAGCGTTGAGGGCGCGCGCCCTGGCGGAGCGTGCGATGTGAGCGTCTGCGCGCGCGCCCTGGCGGAACCTGCGATGTGAGCATCGGGCGCGCGTACTCGTCCCTTGCGGTGACCGTCGTAAAACGGCATTCTTCCCGACGGGCGTTATTTGCGTCCCACGGGGTAGCCCCGGAGTGTTCCCGGCGGTCGGTGTGGAGCCGGATTGTGCTGCATTCGAGGAGTCGGCTGGAGGTCGCCGACGGCGGTAGGCCCCCGGGCGCCTGGAGTCGCGGTCGCCGGCGGCGCCCGGCGCGCGCCGCGGGCGACGTTGATGGAGCGACAAGGTCGCGAGCCACCCGCATATTCTCGCCGAGATGGCGGTGGTAACCCGCAGACTCTCGCCGAGGTGGCGGTGGTAACCCGCAGACTCTCGCCGAGGTGACGGTGGTAACCCGCAGACTCTCGCCGAGGTGACGGTGGTAACCCGCAGACTCTCGCCGAGGTGACGGTGGTAACCCGCAGACTCTCGCCGAGGTGACGGTGGTAACCCGCAGACTCTCGCCGAGGTGACGGTGGTAACCCGCCGCGCGTCCTTGCGCTGGCTGTAGCTCAGTAATCTCTCCGAGGTTACGTCATTCGTAATGCGGATTTTGAGACGTAACGTCACGAACTAATCGGTAATCACTGACATTATTTGCATGCAAGCGTTCAGATCGGAATGCCCCAAAACACATTGGAGCGGCTGCAGAGCACATCGGAGCGGCCCCATAATGCATCGGAGCGGCCCCATAATGTATCGGAGCGGCGCTCTAACGCATCGGAGCGACCCATAACACGTCGAAGCGGCCTAATGGCGCATCTGAACGGCCCCACAACGCATCGGAGCGGCCCAATAACGCAAAGAAGTGGCCCCATAACGCATGGGAACAGCCCTATAACATATCGGAGCGGCCCCATAACGCATAGGAGCGGCCCGTTAACGTATCGGAGCGAGCGCCATAATAATATCCGGCACCTAATGCCATTAGGCATCCTTGCCTTACTTAATAGTAAGACGGATGCGATCCGCGTAGATGCTCCGCGGATCAGGGCAATAACCTGACAACTAAGAATATCTAGAGACGAGGCTTGGCGACAACGCATGGAAGTCACCGTCATGCGGGGAACCATTCGTCACGAGTTCAATAATGCCCCCCGTTGCACACGTTCTCCATGACAGGTCGTTAAGCCTGCCCGGGGTATACGTTACCGCCAGACTTTGGGCCCTAAGACAAACGAGTGGGCACGGTCCATTTTCCTCCTGAAACGGACCCTTCATCTGCCGCCGCCCCGTTCACTTATTTGAATGCGTCAGCTCGCTTCGTTCGCTTTCGAGGACGCGGACAGTGCCAAACGAATGCCTCAAAGATTCCCGTAATGGCTCAGAGCTGGCGACCGCAGCGAATCAGTGTGCGAGTCGGGGAATTTGTTTCGAAGTGGTGGTCGGCCTTGGCAGACCAGTAAAGGGGCAGCAATGAGCCACGCGCGCTTTCCACGACAACACCTGAGCAGGCACAGCAGCTGTGCTGGGTCGATAATACCCCGGGCAGGCGTCCAATCAGCTGATCTGATCCGCGAATGTACTCTTCTATGCTGTATGCTTCGGAGCCAGCGGCGGCTGCATCTCGGCTAAGAGCTGTTTTGGGAAATGCAAAATCGCGTGCGAACCGTCAAGGCATAGCAGCAAGTATCTGCGTCAAAGCTCAGTCGTCCCTAATTGTCCCGTCATCAGCCGAAGTTGTCGCATTGTTTTCATGGCATATAAAACGGCGCGCAATTTGCAGACAAATGTCAGAAGAAGTCATGGGAACTTTGGCCGGTGCAGCGACAGTTTCGAGTTATGCAGGCTCTCGGTGTCATGTCACCAGGAGAGCCAAAGTCGTCATGTCAAGCTTGTTGAGGCAGTTTAAGGGCGTGCAGCCGACCGTGTGACAGTGGACAAGCGCACAAGACAGCCATGGAGCTGGAGGCACACACGTGTCCAGATCAGCGTCCGGCAGACCCACCCGTGCACCAGATACCGCCAGACGTATCTAGTAAACAGTCTGTGGGCGGGGGATTTGCTGGTGCACCGCCCTGACTCCCATCCAGTCGCTGTCAGATTTGCCAACTCTGCCCTCGCCTTTGTGGTCGTTCCTGGACGGATTTACTATCCGCGAATGCAGGTCTGGTTGTGGTTTCGAGTTAATACCCGATGGTTGGTCAAATCGAGCTCTGCGAGGAGGGCGATCAGTTTCATAAGCAAGCTGCGATAGCTTACGACGATAGTGAGGGACGTGCCTTGGTATTGATAGATGCGATGCTCTGTTTCACGAATGCCCATCGGACGTTTCATAGCGTGTGGCTTCTTTACGCGTTAGAGGAAAAGATGCAAATTGCTGTTGCGGGTCTAATCTCCTAACTCATAGGTCATATATGTAAGTGACAGCTTACTGTTTCGAAACACGTTACTGGTGACTCCCGTACACACGTATGGCGGTAGTGGCACACGCACAGACCCCCATTTAAATAGGGGTTAGGTGACTGGAGCGCCTGCTGTCCCTTTTGAGTTGATAGTGCACTTAACTCTGGTTCGGTTAAGTTTCGGTTGCATGCCATGCTGGTGGTAGGGGGGGGGGGGATTGTGCTACTCCTCATGAAATTTAGCTCCTCGTGAAGGCAATCTTCCAGGTGTCCCTAAACGCGTGCGCCGCGTGTCTCCGCCCCGCCTGGCGGCTGGTATGCCGCTGAGCCTGCGGGGACCACCTGGCCGACTCAGCCCGACCGGATTCTGTTCTTGTTCGATCCGTATTCAGCGCACGCGTCGCGCGCTCCTCCGACCGTCGCCAGCCGGTCGGACTGGGGCTCCGACTGCCGTCTCACCTCGACCAGACTGGGGCCCGACTGTCGTCTGGCCTCGGCCAAACTGAGGCCCGACTGCCGTCTCACCTCGGCCAGACTCAGGCCCGACTGCCGTCTCACCTCGGCCAGACTCAGGCCTCGCCTGCCGCCTCGCCTCGGCCAGACTCAGGCCCCGCCTGCCGCCTCGCCTTGGCCAGACTCAGGCCCCGACTGCCGTCTTGCTTCGGCCAGACTCAGGCCCGGACTGCCGCCTCGACTCACCCGGGACTATGGCGTCACTAGCTTGCAGACTGGGCTTGGCTGTAGCGGTGCGGGTATTTGGCTCAGGTTTTGTAAATCAGCTCAGGGGCTGAGTGATCGCTGTGTAATCAAACTTTTCCCTCCAAAACCGACCTCATCCACCCACCCAGCCGCCCCCCCCCCCCCCCCCAAGCCAGAGGCACTTCCAAATTGATCCGCTGCATGTTCAAAGTTAAGGGAGTGGACATACACTTAGAGCTCTGAGCAGCAAATCAGTTCGCCGCCCCCCCCCCCCCCCGCCCCTCCCTTCCCACTCATGCACAGTCGAGGGAGCGTCCATTCCTGGCTATGTGACCTGGGCCTTAGCGGACAGCGCCCGTCGCCCCCAAGCTAGACCATTGTCGGGTATGTCGTTAGCTGGAACAGCGGCCAAATGGAACGTGCCCATTCACAAGCACCCTGTGAGGCGTCTCGGGCACCCCTGGTGGTCCTCAGACGTGCCTCGGTGATTTAGGCGGCTTAGGAGTGCATGGGTCAATACGGTCTATTTACATAATATACACCACGCCGCCGCCAGAACGTTTCACGACTGTGATCACTTCCCACGGACGGCTAAATCCATCCCTGGCTAGGCCGCGAGGGGAACAGCTCATCCGTGGCAGGGCCGCGAGGAGGACAGCTCATGCCGTAGTGGGCCGCGAGGAGGACAGCTCATGCCGGACTGGATCACGAGGGACAGCTCATGCCTGAATGAGCCGCAAGGGGGCAGCTCATGCCTGACTGGCTCGCGAGAGGACAGCTCATGCCCGACTGGGTCGCGAGGGGACAGCTCATGCCCGACTGAGCCGCGAGGGGACAGCTCATGCATGACTGTGTCGCGGGGGGACAGTTCATGCCTGACTAGGTCGCGAGGGGACAGTTCATGCCCGACTGGGTCGCGAGGGGACAGCTCATGCCCGACTGAGCCGCGAGGGGGCAGCTCATGCCTGATTGGGTCGCGAGGGGACAACTCATGCCCGACTGGGCCGCGAGGGACGGCTCTTGTCCCGATTGGGTGCACGAGCTCCAATAGCCCGATCTCGGCGCGAAACAGTCGCCCCACAAGAGATCACCGGAGATCACCAGGAATTGTGAGCGCCCTAGGACGTCCATGTGGCGGTAGGTGTGCGCTGGCTCTGGCCGCTCAGTATCAGATCGTGCGCAGGCTTTGCTCACGCCAGCGTTCAGATAAATGTAGATAGACGTGCATTTAGCAGCCCTGACAATCCTCGAGCTTCCCGTTAATGAGCATTCAAAAACCACAGAAGACAAAAAAGATGATGATGGTTAGCTAGTCATCCTAATAATCATCACATGTTTGCACGTCAGGAATTCCAGACCACGCCGCCAAATTCATGACAACAGTAGGTGAACGCGAGCTACAGCGCTAACGCTGACGGGCTACAGGCGAGGCGGTGGGCCCTGTTATCGTGTCTGTCGACTGGTTAGACTTACAATGAAGCTGAAGGCCTACACTTTGCTAGTGCTAGCCAGTGCCAGGGATGGTCAGCCAGACAGCGGGCGCTTCCGCCACCATCATGGCTCCTCTTTCTTGCATCATGTGTTGGTGGGACATATCTGACATCCCCATCACCGATCACCGTGTGACGTGTGCGTGATATAGCGCGGGCACCGCTCGCCCTGCCCGTGTTGTCACCACCATCGCCAGTGCGCCTGCGTGCCGGCACCATGTGCCTGCCGCCCGACACGTCTACATAGACCATGTGTGCACCAGGCCGGCTGGTGTGCACCAGGCCGGCTGGTGTGCACCAGGCCGGCTGGTGTGCACCAGACGTACGCTGGCAGCGTCCGGGCGTCCTCGCTCTAACTATGGGAGGAGGAGGCGACCAGAGGACAGGAAACCTGCGGCACAGGAAGGGGACATCCCCGGGCTGTCCGATAGACGTTTGCGTCTTTGAGTAGAGCTTGCAATCGCTGGATGTAGTGTGTATTTATATCGGTCATGAGCGGCGCGAGTTTTGACAAGCATGCTAGATAGCTGCAACGACAACAGAGTCGCAGCTGTAGCATGGGATGTACGATCCGTTCTTTATGGGTACATCGCGCTATCTATGAACCATGGCGACTTCTGTGCTTCTTTAAAGCATGGGGCCCCATGCATTTTGCAAAGGATTGTCATGTAACATAAACATTGTTTTGACACCGAAACACCGTTGGCATTCGCTACGCTTGGATCGCCCAGCCATTGAGTGCATGGTTCTCCTGACATCATCGCTGAACATTTGGTCAAGCGGGTATTGCCGCCGCTCCTGTAACAATGCATCTGATCATGACCTGAAACGGCAAATACTTAGGCCGCGTCGTGCGGTATCATTCGCGTATGAAGTAAAACTGTCCCACATTTCATATGGAGATCACTTCTTGTAAAGAAACCGATTTGAAGGCCCAGCAGGAAAAGCTTGTCAGTAATTTCCCCCGGCCCGCGCAGATTTAATAACATGGCCTATTCGTTCCATGTGGGATGCCATTCTTCGTGGCCGAGTGAACCCGTGTGCAAATTAATCTGGACGAGAGTGTAATGGAGCGTTGCCGGATCACTCAGCATCCGCTGACCCGCATCGGACATGGGCAGCATCCCCGGAGCCTTGTACATTATCTCCCTGCACCATCAAGTGCCCCAGTCCTCCAGCACTGCATGCGATACTTTTGCTTTGTCTAAAGCACCGTTTGCTCCGCCCACCCGCGAGAGGTTCTTGAACTTGAGAAAGGACTCCTCTGAATGCAGCACAATCGTCATTGTTGGAACCCCTGCAGGAGCACCGCCTCCACCACCGCGCTATCCCGCGTAACGCTGACTGAAACCAGCCTGAGGAAGACCTGTCGTGGGCAAGTGGTCACCAAGCAGACCCCGTGCGGTCGTGATACAGTGTCAGGACACCGAAGACTAACTAGCTAGGGCTTGGAAACGCCTGATTCCATCAGCTGACGACGCGCGTGATACCGCTACCATTCACGTCGGCACGGCCGGCCAGCCGACGTGCGCTGCCCGTGGCCGGGTGGGGACGAAGCGGCGCGGGACGCCGTCGCCGCCGCCAGCTATGGAGACGTCCGCCGGTCTCCGTGCCGACGCCTCAGCATCGTGCGTCACCGCTGGAAGCGATGCTGCACTCTGCCTGCGCGTCGAGGGCTGCGCCGCGGTTCCTGATGGTCCTGGGGGTGACGCAGGGCACGTTGATCCGTCGGGAAGTTCCCGGGCTGCGCTTTGCGACGGAGTCGAGAGTCTTGCCACGCTCGCCGACGGCAGAAGCCAAGCCAAGCTCTCCGCTGCTGACAACGGCGGGAGCCACGCCAAGCTCTCCGGTGCCGACGGCCGCACGGAGGCCTGCGCACGTGTTGGGAGTGGCGCTGATGTCCCTTTGTGTGCTGGGAGTAGTGCTGTTGCCTCGACAAGTGCTGTGAGTAGTGCTGATGCCTTGACGGCAAGTGCTGGGGCCGGTGCTGATGCCTCCACCTCCAACGCTGGGGGTGGTGCTGATGCCTCCCCCTCAAACGCTGGGGGTGGTGCTGATGCCTCCATCTCAAGCGCTGGGGACGGTGCTGATGCCTCCACCTCAAACGCTGGGGGCGGTGCTGATGCCTCGACCAGAGCTGGGAGTAGTGCTGATGTCTCGACGAGTGCTGGGGGTGGCGCTGCTCCTTCGAACCTCGCCAGGTCGTGCACCGGACCCTCCGGCGCCGCAGTGCCTGCTGCCAGCGGCGGCGCATCGTCGCCAGCGCGAGCTAGGAGTCGCGCCCGGTACCAAGGCCGGGCCGGCGGCGGCGCCGCGTACCCTGGCCGCACTGCAGTACCGCTGGTGGCTCCGCCACCGGTCGGAAGCGGCGTGTTTTCCCGCGCTTTCGCCAGACACAACAAAGACCTGGCGCACGGTAAGTAACTGGAGGCTGTTTGTGTTGTTTGGGGTCGTTTTCAGTGCAATCATGGTGGACTTGGTGAGAGGATGCTAATAGACAGTTCGGCTTTTTGAGTTGATGGACACAGGGGGCTCAGCTTTGTTAATAGACGCACACGTTAATAGACGCAGACGTTCCTGCACAGACTCTCTTGCGGGAGCTTCCATTTTGCAATTTGCAGTTAGCATCCAGTAAATTGAACGAACCGCAAATCAGGCTTGCATCCGCTAGACGAAACAGTTTTTGCCTCACACGGATACGGATGCATGCATGATGGACGGATGTCTATTATGCTCTAAAACTGTGATAAAAGGACCTGACAAAATTCGCTCTTGAGAAAACGTCATTCCTCGAACACGGAGGGTACGCGGCCCGTACTGCGTCCCAACTGCAGCTCCGGGCCGTTATGTCGCCGGTGCTGCAGAGATGTGCCCCGACAGGCCAGGCTCGCGCCGGCGGTTTGTCCGTATAAGGAGACCACTGCCGCACCCTGCGAATGCAATCAGTCGCTGTGATCGGCTGAGCGGCGCAGAGAGGCTCGGGCTGAGCCGCACCCCTGGCTGGCCGGCGCCACCTGGCGGCCAGCCGTGGACAGGCCAGCCCTCAGCAGCGCCTGCCGTAGTGCGAGTGATTCGGAAATGACGCGTGTGAATGTGTTCACTTCGCCTCTGTTTTGTTTTGACAAGGCGGGGACATGCTCCGGAATGTCTTCCTTGATCGCCAAGAACCTGTCCTTTTTCACAACTTCGGAACCAACAGGCTTTTAACACCCGCGGCACGGTTTGAAGGCTGTGATCCAGAATGTTATGATAGAAGCTATGCGTAGCTTTTACGTACATGTACCAGGTTTCCTACCGTTTCGAAATCTTTTCTTGCACAAGGGACGAGGCTGCTTGGGAAATTCCTACATTTCCTTGCCGGGCAGGTAACTATGTGGCTGTCGTTTGGGAAACGCTCGTTTCGCCCAATCCCGTGAGCATTGTGACCACGTAATTGTGTTCTCATTATTCGACGTGTTTGTGTCACCTGCCATTTGGTGTTGCGCAGAACTGAACCCTACAAAATCGAAACTACAAATTTGTATTCCACCCGACGCATGAATATTGTTACCAGCTTCTGGTTTGCGCCGCAAAGTTCATAAATGCGCCACGTAGTGAAAATTAAATCATGGGTCAGACTGGTTTTGTGAGCCTCAATGCTGTCGAAGATGGGGTCACATTGCTACCTATGGCTGCTAGAAGGTGAGGCACCGCTGCTATCTGAGCACATGCTTTGCTTTGACGTGAGCCGCAGCCGAGGACGATACTATCTATCCACATATCGCCGATCTGATTTGATCTGATATGTAGACGAAATCTGTCTTCGAATTTCGTCCGGCCAACGGACCGCTGACAGTTTAAATGTGCGCTGACAGCTAGATGAATGCCCGGCAGGAGCAGCCAAGTGTACGCTCGGGAAGCCTTCCGGACTTCCACCATTGGCAGGGGCCGCCGTCAGTGGCGCCCGCCAGGCTGCGGACGTTGCGTTGGCCGCCGTCAGCGGCGCCCTCATCGGCTATATTGTGACGTCCGACTGCTTGTGTTTCCAACGGAGCCCGGGCCGTCCAGTGCAGGTGCCACCGGTGGTCTATTGACGGAGCCCAGGCCGGCCAGTGCAGGTGCCACCGGTGGTCTATTGACGGAGTCCGGGCCGGCCAGTGCAGGTGCCACCGGTGGTCTATTGACGGGGCCCGGGCCGGCCAGTGCAGGTGCCACCGGTGTTCTATTGACGGAGTCTGAGCCGGCCAGTGCAGGTGCCACCGGTGGTCTATTGACGGAGCCCGGGCCGTCCAGTGCAGGTGCCACCGGTGGTCTATTGACGGGGCCCGGGCCGGCCAGTGCAGGTGCCACCGGTGGTCTATTGACGGAGCCCGAGCTGGTCAGCGCAGGTGCCACCGGTGGTCTATTGACGGAGCCCGAGCTGGCCAGTGTAGGTGCCACCGGTGGTCTATTGACGGAGCCCAGGCCGGCCAGTGCAGGTGCCACTGGTGGTCTATTGACGGAGCCCGAGCTGGCCAGCGCAGGTGCCACCGGTGGTCTATTGACGGAGCCCGAGCCGGCCAGTGCAGGTGCCACCGGTGGTCTGTTGACGGAGCCCGAGCTGGCCAGCGCAGGTGCCACCGGTGGTCTATTGACGGAGCGCGAGCTGGCCAGTGCAGGTGCCACCGGTGGTCTATTGACGGAGCCCGGGCCGGCCAGTGCAGGTGCCACCGGTGGTCTATTGATGGAGCCCGAGCTGGCCAGCGCAGGTGCCACCGGTGGTGTATTGACGGAGCCCGAGCTGGCCAGTGCAGGTGCCACCGGTGGTCTATTGACGGAGCCCGGGCCGTCCAGTGCAGGTGCCACCGGTGGTCTATTGACGGAGCCCGAGCTGGCCAGCGCAGGTGCCACCGGTGGTCTATTGACGGAGCCCGAGCTGGCCAGTGCAGGTGCCACCGGTGGTCTATTGACGGAGCCCGGGCCGTCCAGTGCAGGTGCCACCGGTGGTCTATTGACGGAGCCCGGGCCGGCCAGTGCAGGTGCCACCGGTGGCCTATTGACGTAGCCCGGGCCGGCTAGTGCAGGTGCCACCGGTGTTCTATTGACGGAGCCCGAGCTGGCCAGTGCAGGTGCCACCGGTGGTCTATTGACGGGGCCCGGGCCGGCCAGTGCAGGTGCCACTGGTGGTCTATTGACGGAGCCCGAGCTGGCCAGTGCAGGTGCCACCGGTGGTCTATTGACGGGGCCCGGGCCGGCCAGTGCAGGTGCCACCGGTGGTCTATTGACGGGGCCCGGGCCGGCTAGTGCAGGTGCCACCGGTGTTCTATTGACGGAGCCCGAGCTGGCCAGTGCAGGTGCCACCGGTGGCCTATTGACGGGGCCCGGGCCGGCTAGTGCAGGCGCCACCGGTGGTCTATTGACGTTGGCCGCGCAGAGGACGCGGCCGCCGGCGGAGAGGGCGCGCCGACATCGCTCACAGCGAAACCGGAGCCGGCCAGCGAGTGGCTCGTCCAGACGCGGCGCAAAGCTCGGTCGGCGGCGGCGGGCCGGCTGACTCAGGTGCTGTCAGCAGCGGCCGCGGCCGACCGCGAGTGGGCAACGCTGACATTGTTTGACCATGAGGTCGCAAACCACCGCGGTAGTGATACATGGTGTTCGGCCAGTGGCGTGACAAGCCACTCATTCTGAACGCCATCCAGGCGCGACGTCCGCATCTGTTTAGAGGCTCGGAGGACGAGCAGTTTCAGCTTTTGCCAGCTTTGATCCTCTTAGGCGGAAGCCTCTCAAGGTGGACGTTTGGCAGGGGTGGTGGTAGTGGGTCTCGACAGCGCCTGTCGTACTGACCTCACTGTACTGCCCTCCCCGAGCGCTAGGTCTTTTCTTCATCCGCACTTTTCGAAGTTGTTGTTTGGGGCCTGAGTCAGCGTGTTCGTGCCCAGTATTGCCCGTCAGCTCATGCTTGAGCGTACGAGCCTGGTATAGGCGAACTTTTTCAGTTTCAGTTTTGAACTCTTGAAAAACTGCTGCTCAGCTATTATATCCTTTATTGGAATCAGTAGGCATCCATTTAGTTTGCTGCAAAATGACAATGAAGTCTACTGGTAACACTAGCCTATTTCATGATTACGATTGATCCGCTCCTAGCCGATGAAGTGGACCGATGGAGACAGAACTCGTGCCGTGTGGGCGAGTGACTAATTCACATTATTTTCAGCGATCTAAAAACAAACTCAACTCTTCGAAATATGGGTGCGAACACAACTTGACGGTCTCCTTAAATCCATTCAGCGGACATCGGTCAGGCCGGGGGCTGGCCTGGGGTCGGGCCGGACACCAGCCCCAGCTGACGGTTGGCTGTGATCTGGGCGGGCTGGCCCCGGGTCAGGCCGGGGCTGGCTCGAGGCTCCGACGCCAGCCCCAGCTGACGGTTGGCTGTGATCTGGAGCGGGCTGGCCCCGGGTCAGACCGGGGCTGGCTCGAGGCTCCGACGCCAGCCCCAGCTGGCGGTTGGCTGTGACTGGAGCGGGCTGGCCCCGGGTCAGGTCGGGGCTGACTCGAGGCTCCGACGCCAGCCCCAGCTGACGGTTGGCTGTGATCTGGGCGGGCTGGCCCCGGGTCAGACCGGGGCTGGCTCGAGGCTCCGACGCCAGCCCCAGCTGACGGTTGGCTGTGATCTGGGCGGGCTGGCCCCGGGTCAGACCGGGGCTGGCTCGAGGCTCCGACGCCAGCCCCAGCTGACGGTTGACTGTGACCGGAGTGGGCTGGCCCCGGGTCAGACCGGGGCTGGCTCGAGGCTCCGACGCCAGCCCCAGCTGACGGTTGACTGTGACCGGAGTGGGCTGGCCCCGGGTCAGACCGGGGCTGGCTCGAGGCTCCGACGCCAGCCCCAGCTGACGGTTGGCTGTGACCGGAGTGGGCTGGCCCCGGGTCAGGCCGGGGCTGGCTCGAGGCTCCGACGCCAGCCCCAGCTGACGGTTGGCTGTGACTGGAGCGGGCTGGCCCCGGGTCAGGCCGGGGCTGGCTCGAGGCTCCGACGCCAGCCCCAGCTGACGGTTGACTGTGACCGGAGTGGGCTGGCCCCGGGTCAGGCCGGGGCTGGCTCGAGGCTCCGACGCCAGCCCCAGCTGACGGTTGGCTGTGACTGGAGCGGGCTGGCTCCGGGTCAGGCCGGGGCTGGCTCGAGGCTCCGACGCCAGCCCCAGCTAACGGTTGGCTGTGACCGGAGCGAGCTGGCCCCGGGTCAGGTCGGGGCTGACTCGAGGCTCCGACGCCAGCCCCAGCTGACGGTTGGCTGTGACTGGAGCGGGCCGGCCGGATGACGCTCCACATTTTGGTCAGCGCGCCACGCAGCCAACGCCACCGCCAGACGCACGGCGCCCGGCCGGTCGGACAGACGACGCGGCGGGCCAGCTTGCCCGGCTTGCTGACCTGGCCGACGGCCGGACGCGAAGAGCTGCC